GTACCTAGGTTGCAGGCTCCTCCCTGGCCGGGGCCCAGGTCAGGGCTCATGCAGGAGGCAACCAATCGAAGTGTTCCTCTCACTTTGATGTTTCTCTCTGTCTTTCCCTTTCTCTTCCACATTCTCTAAAAATCAATGGAAACATATCCTCAGGTGAGGATAAAAAAATTAATTATTATTATATGAAAGACACATCTTGAAAATGCCTAAAGAAAGTTTTCATTTTTTCATGGTGAAGGGACTGGAGTCTGTGTTGATGAAAAAACCTTGGTGGCTGCGGTGACTGGCAGTGGCTGCAGCAGCGGGGTACCCAGGCATCAGAATGTGGGGAACTAGGGAACAAATAACCGTGTCTTCAATAAATATACTGGAAGTCAAAATAAAAAGAGCATATAGGACTGAGACTTGAGACATCCAACTGGATGTCTTATATGCACTGATTCCAACAAACCAAATGTAAAACTTGAGAGGGAATTTTGAACAGTGACTACATATTTGATGCTATTAAGGGATTATTAGTTTTTTATATAATAGGATATTGGATTTATGGTTTTTAAAGAGTTCTTACCTTTTAGAGATACATACTAAAATATAAAATGACACATTTGGTATTTATTTCAAAATAAATCATAAAACGAGCTATAATTTGATTATCATTGTAGGTGGGTGATGGATACACAGGGGATCAAGTGTATCATTTTCTCTACTTTCGTATATATTTGAAAGTTTCCATAATAAAAAGTGAAAATATTTTAAGTTCTTGTATAAAAATATGCAACAAAGAGGCTCATAGTATTACTACTGAGGACGATTCATAAACATTACAAGCAAAATAACTTAAGCTGCCATAAAGTACTACCGTAATCTGAGAAAAATGCACCAATCAGAAAGAATATATGCACCCCTATGTTCATAGCAGCACAATTTACAATAGCCACGATTTGGAAACAGCCTAAGTGCCCATCAGCAGATGAGTGGAGCAGATGGATGAATTCTAAAAAGTTCCACAAATCCACTGGTAGCTACAATTTCCACATTCAATATACCATTCCCAAGGTAAGTTAAAAGGCAAACATTTTAAAAGAAAGGCCTTAAAAACATACATTTTGCAAGGGATTAACTGCAAGTTTAAAAACAAATTCCAGCCCTAGCTGGTTTGGCTCAGTGATAGAGCATCAGCCTGCAGACTAAAGGGTCCCAGGTTGATTCTGGTCAAGAGCATAAGCCCAGGTTGTGGGCTCCATCCCTGGTAGGGGGCGTGCAGGAGGCAGCCGATCAATTCTCTCTCATCATTGATGTTTCTATCTTTCTCTTCCTCTCTGAAATCAATAAAAATATATTTTTAAAAAACCAAATTCCAAGTTTTCTGTATTCTCAGAACTCGTAAAGTCTTAATTCTTTAAAAAACAAAAATAAAAAAATAAAGTCTCAAGTCTTTGCATCAGCCCCTTTTCCAGATACCTTTGTATGAGGTCATTACTCATATATTCAGCAAATGGTGAGTACCTATTAAATGCTAGGCTCCGTGGTATAATGGTGAACACACAAACCTTGCCCTCTAGAAGCAGATATTCTAGATAGAGCTGCAGATGTGATATCAGACCATTACAGCAAAATGCACTAAGACTCTAAGCCTATGTATGTCTATAAACTTTTTTAAATATATTTTTGTATTGATTTCAGAGAGGAAGGGAGGGAGATAGAAACATCAATGATGAGAAATCACTGATTGGCTGCCTCCTGCATGTCCCCCACTGGGAGGGATCAAGCTCACAACCCGGGCATGCGCCCCTGACAGGAATCGAACCCGGGACCTTTCAGTCCATAGGCTGATGCTCTATCCACTGAGCCAAACTGGCTAGGGCTAAACTTTTATTTTCAAGAATAAGTCTAAGAGTCAGAGTCATGAGACAGCAGTTTACAGTTCATGATGGAAATAATTGATTTCACATGTTATGGCCACCATTCTCAATTCTGAATACCTGGGATGCTACCTTTTCATTTTATTGTGAACACTCAACCAAGGATATTTTTCCATTGATTTTTAGAGAGAGTGGGAGGGGGAGAGACAGAGAGAGCGCAACATCAATGTGAGACCGACCCATCCATTGGTTGCCTCCAGCACTTGCCCATCAGGCCTGGGGATCGAGCATGCAACCTAGGTAAATGCCCTTGACTGGAATCGAACCTGGGATCCTTCAGTCCATGGGCTGACACTCTAACCCAGTGGTTCTCAACCTTCTGGACCTTTCAATACAGTTCCTCATGTTGTGACCCAACCATAAAATTATTTTCGTGGCTACTTCATCACTGTAATGTTGCTACTGTTATGAATCGTCATGTAAATATCTGATATGCAGGATGGTCTTAGGCGACCCCTGTGAAAGGGTCGTTCGACCACCGAAGGGGTCGCGACCCACAGGTTGAGAACCGCTGCCAGTCAAACCGTCCAGGACAAGGATGCTACCTCTTTAAAACTGGTTCAAACGTTAATGTATTTTATACTAACTGGATAATGAAACAGAATTGGCACAGAGGAGCTAACTACCCCTAATGCTTTGTCAAGAAGTAAATACTTCACATTTCAAAGCTTAAAACTGTTTGTATGAAATAAAAATCCAAGAGCTTCCTCCTCCCAGCTAAAGTCATTTATTTGACCATAAATAAACGCTTTGGGAATAGCCATTAGACGTATTGTCCTGTATGGTGGAAACCCCCCATCCCTGGATAACATCTTAATGCCCCCAAATGATTCATTAAGTCTGATTATCCAATGATGTATCTATTGGTTGATTTCCCTAAACTTTTTCCCACCAAACACCCTATCTTCAGTTCATCACATGTTCAGCACAAGTTCATTCTACATTCATAATTTTTCAATTATACTGTTTATCCCACCATTTTGTCAGGATAATTTTAACAGTTATAAATACCTCTTTTTGTAATCCAAAACCAACTAAAAAAGAAAGTAGACACCAAAAATCTTTCATGCTTAAATGCAAATGTATTCAGTTCCTTTCCATGCCGCACATAATAAGGTATCTATGTGCTTGTTATTCCTGTTCTAATTCAAGTTTGGGGCACCTTTGAGAATCCACTCATCCTCCACAGTGAGCTATATTGCACTGTGCTAGTAAGTATCTTATGTCGGGGGGAAAGGAACATTCCTGACCTACAGCTCAGTCAAGTGGGGAGTGTTCTGGGAGGACAGGTGGTCTATTGTATCTTCCGTTGTTGTCACGAGGCTCACAGTAGGGTCATTATCAGTTCGTATCAACAGATGCCTATAGAAGCCATTCAGATATGCTATAGCAGGGAAGAAGGCACAGGAGAAGAGGAGGAGACTTGATGTCCTATGATGGAGTGTAGAGGCTGGTCTAGGTACAGAAACCGGGAATAACGGAAGAGAGGAGGTCCTCCTTAGGATGCCATGCCAAGCAGAAAGCCTCCGAAAAATCCACCAGTCACTAGAACATTCTTCTTCACAAACAACACCACCTGGGAAACAAGAGACAGCGCAATAAGCTATTTTGCTAAGGATCTTATTATTATTAGAAACTAGAGGCCCGGCGCATGGAATTCATGCGCAGGTAGGGTCCTTAGGCCTGGCCTGAGATCAGGACTGATCTTCCCCGGCTGCTGGCAGCTGGCCCCGCCTGCCACCGCCGCCGGTAGCCCTGTGTGTGTGGGGCAACTGGGCCCTGGCACTGCCCGCATCTGCCACCACCCACCCCCAGTTCCCAATCGGGTGATCAGGGCCTGCGGGCTGGGGACAGCTCCTGTGTTGAGCGTCTGCCCCGATGGTCAGTGCACATCATAGCCAACCAGTTGCTCCACCATCCAGTCGATTTGCATCTTACGCTTTTATATATATAAAGCAGTGATGGTGAACCTATGACACGCGTGTCAGAGGTGACACGCGAACTCATTTTTTTGGTTGATTTTTCTTTGTTAAATGGCACTTAAATATTTAAAATAAATATCAAAAATATAAGTCTTTGTTTTACTATGGTTGCAAATATCAAAAAATTTCTTGTGACACGGCACCAGAGTTAAGTTAGGGTTTTTCAAAATGCTGACGTGCCGAGCTCAAAAGGTTCGCCATCACTGATATAGAGATTGTCTCTGTTATCTTTGCCATCTTGACAATGCCAATCCACTCATCTGTTGAGTAGTTTGTACTTTACCCACAGGGTAAGAGAAGCCATAAATGGACCTGCATGTGAAAAAGAGCCCTGGCTGCTGTGGGGAGAATAAGACTACAGGGAGCCCAGTAGGAAGTAGGACACAGATCAGGAGGTGAGATGGTAGGTGTTTGGATCAAGGTGGTAGCAGGGGTGCTAGTGCACAGTGATCAAATTCAACAGATGTTTTCAAGACAGGACTTTGTGTGACCACATAACTGGTCATATAGGGGCTGAGGAGAAGTCAAGTGAGAGTGGAAGGGACGGGGAGAGACAGAGAGCAACATCGATGTGAGAGACACATCAACTGGCTGCCTCCCGCACCAATGGACTCTGTCTTTAGAAAGAGAGCTAAGAAACCCGCCCAAGAGTTCACACAGGGACAGGGAAGGACAGAGTTCATGGGGGCAGTTATGGGGAAAGAGCAGAGCTGTATTCAATAAACTGGTTAGAGCAATTCAAGATTTCCAATTTCACTCCTTCCACTTTCTTCAATACCTGCTATCCAGTGGAGGCTGCTCACTCTGAATCTCAACTCCAAATTTTTCTATATTCATCCTATCCATCCATCTATCCACCCATACCCCTCTGAGACCTTCTCTCAAGGAGATGCTATGTATTCTTACTCTCACACTTCACTATATCAGAGGATGACTAAGAGATGAGGTCCTTATTTTCTTAAATTCCCAAAGCTTCCTACATCCAGTCAAGTTAGTTCCTACTCATCTGAAGCTCCCATGTCTGTGTTCTATAATCTCCACTTCAGAATGCTGGTAAGAGAACTTTCTTCCAAGTATAACCACCACCTTCAAAAGTGTTCGTGGGGCCCTAGCTGGTTTGGCCCAGTGGACAAGCATTGGCCTGAGGACTGAAGGGTCCCAGGTTCAATTCCAGTCCAGGGCACATGCCCGGGTTGGGGCTGGATCCCCAGGAGGGGGTGTGCAGGAGGCAGACTATCAATGATTCTCTCTCATCATTGATGTTCCTATCTCTCCCTCTCCCTTCCTCTCTGAAATCAATAAAAAAAAATATTTTGAAAAAAAGTGTTCATGGGGCCTGGCTGGTGTGGCTCGGTGGTTGAGCATGGACCCATGAACCAGGAGGGCATAGTTCAATTCCCTGTCAGGGCACATACCTCGGTTGTGAGCTCGATCCCCAGTAGGGGACGTGCAAGAGGCAGCTGATCAATGATTCCCTCTCATCATTGATGTTTCTATCTCCTTTTCCCTTCCTCTCTTTGAAATCAATAAAAACATTTTAAAAAAGTGTTCATGGGCTGAGGAATCTCAGATGGAAGGTGTGGGAAGGTGAGAGGGTGGGAAGTGATCAACCAAAGAACTTGTATGCATATATGCATAACCCAATGGACACAGACAATAGGGTGGTGAAGGCCTGGGGCGGGGGTGGGCTAAAAGGGGTCAATGGGGAGAAAAGAGGGAAAAGTGTGATACTTTCAACTATATTTTTTAAAGCAAACTGGCCTGATCTGGGGGTGGGGCTGGCCGGCCAACTGCCTGCGGCCCCTCCCCCTGGCCGGCCCCACCCCTGATGGGTGCCTACCCAAGCCAGCTCTGCCCCCGATCAGCCCCCCCACTCCGATCAGGGGCAGGGCTGGCTGGCCAATCACCCATGGCCCCTCCCCCAGCCTCTGGCCCCTGATCGGTCCCCCACATCCCATTCAGGGGTGCGGTTGGCTGAGGGGAGGGGCTGCAGGAGGTTGGCCGGCCAGCCCCGCCCCCTATTGGCAAAGGAGGGTGATCAGGGGTAGGGCCGGCTGGGGGGAGGAGCTATTGGAGGTTGGCCAGCTGGCCCCACCCTCCGATCAGGCCGGTTCCCTGGCCACAGTGGGCATCATAGTGACCGGTTGTTCCAGTCGTCCTGATGTTCCAGTTGCTGTCTTTTTACATATATAGATAATAGACCTATTACAGATATGTATTAAGAAAAAAAGTTTCCAAAACAATAATTGTTCTGGGTATGATATTTTTCTATTTTCTACTATATCCTATTATTTAATTATTGATGACCCACTAAGCAGAATTCAGGAGCAACTCGTGTGACAGGGCCTACAACACTACTTTATAAAAAGATCAATGCATTCATCCTGGCTCTTTCACTTCTCAAATCTCAGTTGCTCAGTTCTTTCTATATCTGGAAAATATTCTAGTATATTTCCAGCAAGTTTCACTTTTAATTTATTATGACAATTAGAGACTTCTTGTCCACAAATCAGATCATCTTAACTAATGAAATCAGAGGAATGATCCTCAAAGTAGGCCCTTCAGGATATGACTTTAGAATAGGATCCCTCGCTGTTCAGGCCCCAGGGTGGCAAGTGTGTGGCGGTAACCCCTGGGAGCTCTCACACTACAATGACCAGGACTCTTACCTGGGCTGAATGGAGATAGGGACCAAGTGGGAAGGGAAGTACAATATATAGATTATTTAGTTAATATGGCAGTTGTGCCTTTTTCACTCATTTGTATTTGCTTATTTTTCTATGACTAACATTAATTTTCTAGACACTGGGGGTGAGGGGACAAGGGCAAGTGCTGGGGGATAGGAGATGCTGAGGGGAGGTTAGTGGGCGGCGGGGGGGAGAGACATATGTACTACTATTTGTAATACCTTAAACAATATATAAATAAATTTTAAATAAATAAATAATCTTTAACTCAATTAAAAAAAAACTGTCTTCATATACCTGGCTATGCGGAATGGTGTTTAGCCTTTTTCTAGTCTGCTAAATCATTTACCACTCAGCTACGTGCTTTCCAACTCCCCCAAATTTGCTGACATTTGCTGTCTACTGATAATCCTCTCCTGTTCCCTTGGTCCTTATGGGTTTAACCACTTTTATTTTATTACTGTCATTTAGGTATATTTCAGAAGGAAGCAGAGAAATGCTATGTTCAATCTGCCAACATTTAACCCAAGTTCACCTACTACCACCTATTCTATTTGATTACATGACTTTCTCCTGTCACTGCTACTAGAGTGTGAGTGCCTCAAAGACAAGGCCTAATTCAGTTTACTCCTAAGTCGTAAATCCTTCCCCTTTCTCTGTGAATCCAGAACTCCATTGCTCCAGGCTCTGGGAGGTGCCAGCCATTTATTTCTCTACAGTTCACTGTAATTATTACTTTGGGATATCTAACATATTTCTCTTTTTCAAATATATTTTTATTGATTTCAGAGAGGAAGGGAGAGGGAGAGATAGAAACATCAATGATGAGAGATAATCAATAATCGGCTGCCTCCTGCATGCCCCCTACTGAGGATCCAGCCTACAACCCGGGCATGTGCCTTGACTGGGAATCAAACCGTGACCTCCTGGTTCATAGGTCGACCCTCAACCACTGAACCACACCAGCTGGGCTAATAAAGCAGTAGCAAAACACATCCTTTTAAAAAGGAAAATTTTTTTCCTGTTCTCCAGTGCCAGCCAATATAACCTAAACTGGTTTTGTGCAAACCACACCCATGGGTCAAATCCAGCTGGCTGCTTGCTTTAAAATCAAGTTCCATCACATCACAGCTGCACCCACTTTGTCTGAATATCATTTATGGTTATTTTCGTGCGACACAGTGGAGTTCAGTATTTGTAACCACATGGCTTACAAAGCTGAAAATATTTACCATTGGCCCTTTACAAAAAAAGGTTGACACCCCCAAGGCTAGACATTAAAGATCATTGTTCTTGAAATTTAAAAAAAAATCTTTAAAACTCAATTTAAAAAAACTGTTTTCATATACCTGCATGCGCATATAAGC